TCCCCTGGCCGCCCCCGCTGTTTGTTAGCTCTGCTGCAGCACCAGCGTGGTGAGGAGAGGGAGGAGGGGTCGTGCTCCTCTCTCAAGGGACAAGACAAGAGCAAAGAGCTTCAACTTGTGCCAGGGAAGGTTGAGGTTGGAGCTGAGAAAAACGTCTTCCCCAAAGGGGTTGTCAAGGCCTGGAAGAGGCCAAGGGCAGTGGTGGAGTCCCCAGCCCTGGAGGGGTTTCCAAGGCCTGGAGATGTGGTGCTGAGGGACAGGGTTGAGCATTACTCAGGTTAGTGGTTCAGCTTAGGTCTTTTCCAGCCTAAACAATTCTGATTCTATACTTCAGTAACATGACTTCAATTGACATCTGCAAAGCACAACTTCACTCTCACCAGCAAGAAAAGCAATAAGGCCTTTGTATCTTTGCCTCAGCCCTCACCTCTACCCCAAAGGAGTCTCCATTACAATCAACAGCTAGAGAAAGTGATCCAGTAGAATCCAGTGTATTTATTTCTTGCAATATTCAAATGGGTGTTTCACCTTTGGGTTTTAATACATACAAATTCATCTTTGCAAGTTTAATGACAATCAATACTAGAAGCAAATCATTGTATAAAGCTCATAGGAGAAAAAAAAAGTGCCAAGTCAGTCAGGTCTTTATTTTCCTGGGGGAAAAAAATAACAAAAACCTCAAAGCAAAACCCCAAGCATTCCAAATGAAGGCCTCATGGAAGCAAGCACACCCCTTTCTGAAAAAGTTAGGAACAAGTCAGAATCTACTATCAGCAGAGGCAGCTGAAATACAGGTACTCACTCTTTCTACAAGCAGCTAATTCAACTAGAGACAAGTTTACGTGGTCTGATCAGCTGGGGAGTTTGCCAGCACGCAGGGTCACCTCTGTGTGTCCAGCCTGAGCAGCAGGAGCCTACAGCTGGGGCTTCATCCATCAGACACCAACCCAAGCCACCCAGGCCACGAGGGCAGCAGCTGAGGGGTAACCGTGGGGATGCTCCGTGAGCCCGGTGTAACTGGGGATGGCTCAAGCACAGATCAAACCAAAATCAAGCCTAGGGAAGGGCTGGCTGGTGATGAGCTGAGGACAGCTGATGCTCCCCCTCTCGTCTTCGTGCCATCCTGTGTCCATGGGCACTCCTATGAACGCTGCTGCCAGGATCCACAGGGGAGGGAACCACCAGCCCTGCGCCAGGCGGGGTTCAGCCTCCCCTCTCCCTCTGGAACAGGATTGACTCGCGATGGAGACTGAGCTTAGAGCTGTTCCTGGAGGCCTGGTGAGCACACCAAACCTCCACCCAGGGGCAGGAGGGCAGGGAGCACTGCTGGGGTGTGGGCACTGCCCGGGCCTGGGGCTCACCACACTGACCAGACCTCAGCAGGAGTTCCTAGTGCTGCGGGATTTGCTTGCTTCGGTTCGGAGTCAGAACAAACAGAGTGGACAACTTAAAGCTTTATTGTGGTCTGCAAGAGTATAAACAGGGGCTGCAGTTCAGTCAATGTCCATCTCAGGCAGCTTCTTCTCAGCAGCCGTGGGGGCAGCAGCACTCTGCTCCGTGCCTGGGGACCCACTGTCCCCCTCCCCCTGGCTCTCCACTGGTCCGTTGGGTTCCGTCGGCTTCTGCTCCTCCTTCGGGAGCTCCACTTTGGGTTTTGGTTTGTTGACTATTGGATTACAAATACTTGTCAATTCCTAGAAAACACAGACATAAAACGCTGTTAGAAATGTGCTGGTAGATTAAAACCATTCACCTGATGCTCAAATTAAGCACTGACCACAGCAGGTGGATGTTCCAGTTGAGGGCAAACTTTCCCCAGTACATGTTTGGCAGATTGATACCCACTCACTGTCTTTCCATCACACATTCCTCACCTCAGAGTTCTCCTCTAGACTCTGCATAATTCACTGTAATTCCACACAAGACTTACTTTAGTTTTAGCTTGTATGTCTTTAGCTTTTATAACTGGGTCCAAGGTCAGACTTCTCTTGTTTTGAAGATTAAGTTTATTGTTCATCCACTCCATGGCTTCATTTGCACTCTTCTCCACTTTGGCTACATCTGCTTCATCTAGGTGGTCATACTGCTCATCCTGAAATGGCCAAGTTAGCAGTAGCTGAACAAGTGTTTTGAGCATTTAAATTATTTGCTTCTCCTTAAACTTCAAGAATACTAGAAAAACATTAAGCCAGAAGACTGTTCTAGTTAGCAGAGCAATTAACCTGATCACCCACTGCTCTGTAATCAGAGAACTGATGTTCTGCTCCTGCTGGCATTTTCCCCTCCATGAGGAAATCAACACCTGGATAAAAAAAGACTGATGGATTTTCAAGCCAACATCCATTTCTGGGTAAATATTGAGAACTCAGAATTGAGCCAGGAGGCTGCACCAGCTTTGTTTAAATTTGTTTTATTTTCCTTAAAATTCAAAAAAGGTTTGCACCATTCCTTGCAGTTGCCAGAGATTAAGGACTGAAATACCTTTGCTTTGAATGCATGAACAGTTTTCATGTAATGTTGAATTTGCTTTCCCAAGTCCTCAAATGCTTTTGGTCTTTCCTCTGATTCTTGAAATCTTGCCTGAATAGGCTGACCCAGACTCTGAAACAAAGTACAACAGACATCAAGACCCACACAGCTTCACAGCGTGCTCCTGCAAGATAGGACAGCTACAGCAACATTCCCAAACTCCTGGGAATTTTTGCTCTTCCCTCCACTTCCAGGAGGAGCTGAGTCTGCCTCAAGTCTGTATTGTTGCAGGTCTGCTGGAGATCTGCTCCTCATGTGCTCAGTAAGGACACCAAGGAGTTTGTTATCAGTGCTGACCTCTGGCTCAGCAGACCCAAGGCAGATCCCTGCCTGAACAATGTTCTCCAGATTCAGGAAATTCTGATGGGAACATAGTTCTTTCACCTTCACCTACTCACCTTCAATTCTGCCAATTTATCAATGTAGATTTGTTTGGGTTGGTCTTCACCATCTTCATAAAGCCAATTTTCTGTATCTTCCAGCTTCAGTGTGAAACTGTTTCTATCCTGAAGCAACACATACAAAACAGGTGAGATAACTGTCAGATGCTATTAGATTATACTCAAAACCTCTCTGGAAGGGTTATATTTCTAGAACAAAGAACTCTGCCTAAAATTTTGTATCCTATTTTAGTGAAAAACAGTGTTCTTCAGTAAGGCTTCATGGTGGAGACCAGGCTAAGGAAGAACACCTACAATTTAGATCAATACTGTCACACAAAAGCCTTTTCCCCCCCTCTCCTTCTCCTTCACATTTTCATCATCACAATATAAGGAAGCCTGAGAGTGAAACTCCTCTTTAGCAAAGGTGTGAGGAATCTCACCTGGCTCACCCCAGTTTCAGCTCTGCTGCAGGTACCTGGGCTCCTCAGACACCTTTGCTGGCAAGGGGCCTGTTATCATCAGTGGGGATCTACTCAAGAGTTGAGTGATTCATCTGACTAATGTAACCACCTAACTTACAATTCCATTAATTACACACCAAGCTCCTTCAGGACACCAGGGAGAGCTAATTAACAATACCAAGAGATTTTTCAGGCAACCTGTTCAGATACAGTGCCCACACTTAGACTAATCCCACCTATTATTTTCCTAGGTAGGTGTGTTTTGAGTTTTGGGTGGTTTGTTTCTAAACTACCCCTAAATATTGACAAAAAGCCAAAACAGAATAGGCTGCCCTAAAAGGATTGTGCAAGCACTCCTGGTCTGCTTCAGTCTGCAAACACATCTCTGATAATATCCTAATTGCTGCAATGGGTTTGAGAAGAACAGACAGTGCAGCCTGGGTCCCATCTGCTTGTCCTTGGCCCACATTTAGAAGGTGATCTTCACAGCCAGGAAGGTTAAAAGCTACTTCTCCAAATTTAAAGTCTGGAAATACAGTGCAATTAAAGATAGTATCTGATACAGGTCAAAAAAACACATTGCCTGTAATTACCACTGCAACAGAAGACAAGAGGAGACCCTCAGGACAGCAGTACTTACATCTTCACTAACGAATTTCTCATAAGCACCACAGAGTTTGTCCCTCATCTCATACACGTATTCTTCCACTGCATTCTTGGCATCATTCCTCTCCTTCTCTAGCTTATCCTGCATTATCATTTTACCCTGTGAAAAAGTTGTCAAAGGAGTTAAACACGGATTATGTAACATGTACCATTAGCATGCTGCCTTAGGGAAGCCTGAAGCTGGACTAGAGATATCTGAAGTACTCTGGTTTACAGAACTGTGCCACACAGCACATGAAATAATTTCAGTTTTTGTGGGATACAGTACAGAACATTCTTGCTCTAGTTGAGGAAACTTCACCCTGGTGGTAGCAGCCATCAGCACCTTGTAACTGCAGATGACTGTGGAAGTCACAGCCCAAGCATTACCAGCCTGCAGAGGGGTTCTGCAGGAAAGGCAGAGCAGTTGCCTGAAGGAAGAATGTATGTTGGCTCCATGAGGCACTGCTGTTCACCTTCAACTGCATTCTTCCCACCACCACCCCCCCCCTTTTTCTCTTTCCTTGATCACCATTAACCATGTTTAATGAGCATCAAAGTGTCCAGAGATCAACTAGTGACATTGCAAGCAGGAGTACTTAGGAGTTTACCTCATTCTCAATAAATAAGTTGAGCATGTCTTTCCCAATCTGCCACACCAGCTGGTTCTCAATGGGCAGGTCCACTGTTGTGGTCTTCACTTTAGCCTTCTTGGCTTGAGGTGGCTGATCCACTTTCTTGTCTTTTGAGTCAGCCTGAGAAGTCTGCATTGAAGAGATGCAGTGCTAGTAAAACCAGCATTGGTCAGCTCCAGCTGAGCACCTGAGACTCAGATGAGCAGCAGCATTGCTGAGCCATCACCCCTCAACATCAGAGCAGGGTGACTGCTGACACCTGCAGCTGCTCTGGTCACAGTTCCTCCAGCACTGCCCTCTCCTGGCACACAGGCTACAGCCACAGGGGGGTGGTGCTTACAGCACAACCTTCTCTAGTATTTCAGCTACTGAAACCTAAATCATTATTCCTTCCACTTTATCAGGACTAGGTCCCCTGACAGGTCTGCAATTATCCATGCTATGTCTTTCTAAAGCTCTAATCATGATACAGAGGACCAATATATGATTCAGCTTCCACAAAGGCAGCAGATGCACTCACACACTACATGCTCTCATGAATCTTCCCCAAGTATCCTGTAAGAAAACACAAGTCTGAAATGTTCACATTACCTCCATTTCTTCAGACTCCACCTTGTTTTCAGGTTGGGCCTGCTGTTCTTCTGTCTTCTGCTGCTCTTCCTGGTCTACCTGCATCTTCTGAAATTCACAGAGAGATCCAATTTGAGATATTAAACACAGCCTAGGAACTGACCTGATCTGAACACCTCACACCTAATGCTCTTTGGGCAAAAGTAACTGCATGAAAACTGAAGTAGAGCCTCAACACATCAACTATAAATCTTGGCTTAGGCAAGCAGCACTTCCAGCATGATTAAGGTTTTCATCTATACCTCACAGTGCTGGTTTCAAGAGATCTATCACTACCACAGTGTACTTCAACTAGTACTTAATCACATCTCAGACCCTGGCCAGTTTTGCTTCAACAGTTTGCTCAGCAGCCAAGAGCAATGCCACCTCTTACCTCTTCCTCCTTTGCATGCTGATCTGTCTCCATAGGCTCCTCATTCTCATCAGATTTGTGAACCTCCACTAGAGAGGCACTTGAGACACTGAAGATACCATGGATATTCACTCTGACTTTGACCTTCACTTTTGAACTGGATCCATCTGTCTGGGGAGTGACCTTCTGAACCAAGAAGTGAGCTAAACAATCCCGAGAAAAAAAACACCACACTGATTAACTTAATCACCAAATGCAAAGTAAAACCTGACTGCTGCTGGCAGCACATCACCAAGATGCACTCAGAGGACATCAAATCCTACCCAAGCCAAACAATTCCATCGTTACTCAGCAGTGCTAGGACACACCCCAATTAGAAACTCTGTGGCATGCTGTGAAAGCTGATATTACTTTTATCATAATAAAACATCACATAACTCTCAGTATGCCCCTTCCAGGTTTGCTCCAGCATTAAAAAGCTCTTTATTTAGCCTGTTTTCCCCACAAACTTCACGTTACTCCACTCATTTTACTGTAAATCCCCAAGTTTGGAAGCCTGTCTCTACACTGCAGTAGGTTGCACTAGATAATTAGACAGAAAGAAGTCCTGAACTATGTACAAGATTATTAGCCAAGCTTAAAGCTACAGAACAGTCCCAACCTATAGCAGGGTCAGGGTAGGGCAGCTCCTTGGGAGAGCTGTAATATGCCTCAAGAGTAAACGGCTCCTTCCGGTAGAACGTGAGGACCTTCGAGAAGGGAGCAGCATGGTTCTTGGGAAAGACCTCACAGTCACTGGAAGAGAGAACAGAGCACCTGGTCATCTGGTGAAGTTAAAACTTTATTCTAGATACTCTCATATCTTAAGGAGAAGTTCCTTTAAGAATTGACAAAGGAGTCTCTTAAACATTAGGTTAAAATGAGACCGACGGCCACGCAGGAAGCGCTACGCTGCCACCCATCCCTGGTCAACTTCCAAACATGCACCAAAAGCTTAAGTTATTTAGTGAACATTCTCATAAAAGTGTTATTTACTCTAGCTGTCAGCAAGAATACCAAATATAATTTACCTTAACCCTTCCTCTGCTGGAGAATTCCATCGTAAGGAAATGGGGTAGGGTACCAGGTCTGTGATGGAGAACTCCCTCACTTTGAAGGCCGGGGACAAAATGGCACACTGAAAGGGCACAAGAGCCAGTTACACCCAAACCTCAGCTGGACACTCATTTCATTCACCAAGGAGCTATTCGTGCTGCTAAGGATGTGCATTTCCTCTAGGTTAAGGGAGACCAATCCTGACAGACTCACAAGCTGCCCTGAGCAGCACTGGAAGCTCACACGTTCCCTCCCTTTTCAGGAAGCTCTCACAAGCTATGCACTCTGGAAAGGGAAAGCCACAAGTTTTAATCAAGAGCCTTCATGTCTGGCTTGCTGTGGTTTGCCTACCCAATTGGTTTTAGTGCCAACCTAAGAAATAAGATCCATTAAAGTTACTTTTTAGAGTGATGGGGTACTGGGGCTTCTGTATACTAGATTTTTTTTAAGCAGATTCTAATAGCTAGTTCATGCCACTGAAAGAACAGAGCTGTAAGCACATATTTAACATTTAGGAGAGAAGCAAAGTGATCAGAGCAAAACTAAGGAGCATTCAAGAGATGGCAGCACTAGTAACCATAGAGTATTTACCACTTCTTAAGCCATTCAGCAGTGACTGGCTCCAGCTCAGGACAAGGATTTCCATCAGCAAGAGCCTAAGCTCTCACTTCAATCCACTTTACCAAGCAATTGCCAGATCACAACAGTAACACTGGAGGGAAGTTTTTTCCCCCTGTTTAACCCAGGCCTCCACAGGAACCAGGAGAAGCCAGCACCATGAGAGCCTTACCAGACTCCCAGCCTCCAGACACAGCAGAGGCAGCCAATGTTTTGCTTCCACAAGCTACACTGATCTGATTTCCCTTACACAAACAGCACAAAGGAATCACTCCAAGCTGCTCTTCTCAGTCTTCCAACCACTTTCCTCAAAGCCTATTTGAATTCATTCTCTCTCTCATGTTACCTGTGTACTCTGGGTCAAATATTTAAAGATTTCAAGAAAGATACTCAGAGCCAAAACAAAGGGCACTTTTTACCTGCAGTGCACAACCTCGTGCAACAGCCTCGTCTGCATTCAAAGTGGTACTGACTTCTTTGCCAAAAAATTTGCTGATCTTCTCTTTCACAGCAGGGATTCTTGTGGTACCACCAACTATCTCTACTGCATAAATATCCTCCTTCTTTAACTCTAGAAAGGAGACAGACTTCAGTTTTTATCAGTTAAACATTTATGTTTTACATGAATATGCTGACATGGTCACCAAAAAGTTTTACTAGCCATGACTATTTCAAACTTCCTCCCTGATTCTAAGCAATAAGAATTTCAGGTCTTAGCTTGTGTGTAAAAGTTTTAAGAAGCTTTTAACTGCTAAACAAGAAGTTGTAAGCTGCACTAAACCCATCTGTCCAAGTCCAGGCAACAGCCAGAGGCTGGCTCTGCTCTGGGCAGACTCACTGGCTTGCTCCAGCACGCTGCGCAGGGGTGCTTCCACTCTTGCAAGGAGTCCATCACACATCTCTAGAAACTTGCCCCTGTTGGAAGAAGCCATAAATAAAGCTGTAGCACACCACAAGCCAGTTAACACCACAAACACAACAGGGTGACAAAGCTGGGAGAATGCTGTTTCAGCAGGGCTCACCCTCCCTCCCCAGCCCCTTCTACACTTGTTCATTATATTCCCCAAACTTGGTTCTAGCACCTAGGCATGCTTGGAGCATTCACAACCCCCCCTCCTCACTCAAACCACTGAGCAGTCTTTAAAAGGTTATTATCCTGAGCAGTCTTTAAAGGTTATTATCCTGAGCAGTCTTTAAAGGTTATTATCCTGAGCAGCACCCCTGCACATGTTGTCCTGACGTGTTCCACCCCCCCAGTCCCAAAAACTGGTACTTTATACTTCTGGCTGCAGGGCACTGACAGTTTCCCTCCACAGGAGCACAACCATCACCTGTTCATGGTCCCAGAGACATCTATGTCATTCATGAAGCACTCTATGTTCATGGGGAGGTCAGAGGCATTAGCACTCATCAGCTTTTTCAGTCTTTCACATTCCTGGTATAGCCTCAACAACGCACGGATCTTGGACTTGATGTCTAGTTTGTATTTCTTCCCAAATTCTTCACAAAAGTATTCAACCAACACCTCATCAAACTTCCTGCCTCCAAGTGTTGTATCAAATGCTGTAGCAAGAACCTTAAAAAAAATTGAACTCTTCAGTTATTTGGCATTACTTCATTGAAACCAGATAGCAGCTAATGTCAAAGCAATTGTTTCAAATATAGTCCAACTTCAGGCCAAAGTATCACAACAGTACAACAGAGGAAGGAGTATACTGGTGCAACCAACAGAAAAAAAACTCCAGTAGTTTGTTTTTATTCTGCCCCTGCCACCACCAGTGAGGAGTTTCTTTGGATCAGCCCCACCCACAAGCCCATCCCCTCCCACACAGCAAAGCTGTGTCCCACACATCTCCCACGTTTGGTGCTGCCAACAGACAAGCCATTCTCTTCCATTTCAGGGCAGCCTAAGCAGCAACTGCATCACTAACATCTGACTCTTTATGTGGATGGTAACTGCAGGAACAATTGTACACTTTTTTTTTTAAAGCCTACCAAGTTTAAACCATAATTATCCTGCACAGTTTGTAGCTGACAGGAGATACTTTCAAAGTGCTGGAGAAAAACCTTCATTACCCCTGACAAATGCTGCCAGTGCCACTTACTAAACCTCTGTGTGAGTGGTAATTATCCCAAGAATTGCAGGGCATACATACAGTGGCTACAAACACCAGGAAAAAAAAATCCCAGCTATCTCAAATGCTAAAAAGCAGCCTTGGGCATCCAGCCTTCCTGTTACTTTGAATCCTATCCCAGTTTAATATTTGATGCCTCATAAGGGTGGAACATGTTCACACCAAGCTAAAAATAAAACAAAGAGAATAAGCATTGTTAACTCTCACAAACAGGTGCTCATTTTTGAGGAGGGAATTAGCTGCAAAGAACATCTGTAGCCCATCCACCTGAGTCTGCTCTTTAAATATACTCTGAACTTTCTTTTTAAGGACTAGAAATCAATAGCATATCACATTATTCTCCATCCTTTTCCAGACTAGGTTTGGTCTCTACACTGGTTTAACTGTCCTCCTATCCAGCTCTCTGTAGGGTGGAATATGTTCACACCAAGCTAAAAATAATGCTTATTCTCTTCATGTTTTAACTCTCACAAACAGGTGCTCATTTTTGAGGAGGGAATTAGCTGCAAAGAACATCTGTAGCCCATCCACCTCAGTTGAGTCTGCTCTTTAAATATACTCGCAACTTTCTTTTTAAGGACTAGAAATCAATAGCATATCACATTATTCTCCATCCTTTCCCAGACTAGGTTTGGTCTCTACACTGGTTTAACTGTCCTGCTATCCAGCTCTCTGTTCTACACTCAAAAGCATCCCTTCAATACTTCTATGGCTTCCAAATTTAAAAGACCTACTCAAGAGAAACACAAAGAAACATTTCCTCACAAGAGGAAACAGAACTACACACAAAATGAATGTTTTCAGAACTCTTGCCTTCTCTTCATTTCACTACCCCACGTCTCAAAATTTGCATTAACTTCTGCAGCTGAACAAGAGAATGTTATTGGGACTTAAGCAAAAGTCCAGATTCCAATTGTAAGAAAGCCAACTAAGAAATGTCAGTATTTGCTGGAAAATCCTCATCTTTGGCAGCTTACACCTAAAAACACACTGTAACTTGCTTAGCTTCCATTTGCAGCATATATTAAGAATGTTTTTACTCTTTTAGATGAGTACCACAGTGAGTGTTAAAGTCTGCCACACTACTCTAGGAATTCCAAGTGTTAAAAAAGTCTGCCACACTACTCTAGGAATTCCTGTTCTAATGCTAGACCTGGCTGAACTGGAGCCTTTTCTGAAGGCAGCATCCAGTCAGATATGGCAATCTCTGCACAGATCATTTATTCCAGGCTTTTTATTCTTTGCCAAAGTCTGCTGATTAAGGCACGTTTGCTTCCCCCACACATCCCTCAGCAGCTCTCCAGCTCCCTGCCCTACTTTAACTCCAGACAAAGTGCAATTTTAGGAATATGAACCAAGCCCATGTGAAGCCAGGTAAGGCTGCCTGTCACAGGCCATGTGTGCTGATGGATATTTCTCCCAGTGATTAAAATGGATGCATAACAGATGGTTTACTTTCAGCTTTCCTTTGTTGAATGCACAGACAGACACTTGATATGCAGAATGCCCCATGTCCACAAACACAACGTTCCGTGGCTTCTCTTCCAAGGCAGGCAGGTCTTGCTTATAGATCCCATAGGCAAGGGCAACTACACAGAAACAAGAGTAAAAATCATAGTTAAAAAAAGTCAGTTTTGTAATTCCTTCAGAAGTGGTACATCAGTAAAGAGTATTAGCTTTTCATCTTACTTTTCAAGCTATGGAAATTGATCCCTCATTAAACAAGATTCTCAGTGCTGAAGTAACATAGACTGATCCCTCATTAAGATTCTCAGTGCTGAAGTAACATAGAACAACAATAAAATAGTATCAGCCCTTCCTAGAAGCTGCACTAAAACAGACATTCAAGGAATATCTTTATGCCTCTAAAGCAAAAAAAAACCAAACAGATGAGAGCTTAAGAAACTTTATGGTCAACTGATCCATTTTAAACTTATAAACCCAGCAGTAATTCCAGAGGGCACAGATCAGTGACAGATGAAAAGCCTTTTTATCTAATAAAACAACAATATTCAGTGAGGGAGGGGAGGGAAGGCATTACCTGCAGTTGTTTCATTTATTAGCCTCAGGCAGTTGAGCCCAGCAATCTGTGTAGCATCCAGCACAGATCTCCTTTCTGCATCTGTGTAGAAGGAAGGAACCTGCACGAAGGTCAGAGGGTCAATATTAACGTGGAGCAGAGCTGTCTGCAGCAGCTACAAGTGGCTACAGAGCTCCTACAGAGCACAGCCAGGCTATCTTTCAAATTTAGTGTTCACCAGTTGCAAGAGAAAAAGCAAAGAAAAGGATTACATGAAGACAGTTACTTTTTGTCAACCTTTTTCCATTCACTCTCACAAGCCACTCCTTTCAGCAGCAATAGAAACAGGGGTTAAGTATTAATCATGCTGCTAATTAGCAGTGATTTAAGACATTTTACCTTTAATGAAAGTTTTGAAGAGAAGGTGTAAGATTCAGTTTTAAACAGAAAAGACAAATACCTGACTATTCAAGCTTAATGGGCAATTTAACACTGCCATCTCTTCAGTTTGTGATACCAAGCAAATTATGTAAGATGGATTTACTATCACATACTTACAGAAACCACACAGTCAACCACAGGCTTCTTAAGTGCATTCTCTTTAATGAAGTAAATCTAGTTTTGAAGAGAAGATGAAGATTCAGTTTTAAACAGAAAAGACAAATACCTGACTATTCAAGCTTAATGGGCAATTTAACACTGCAATCTCTTCAGTTTGTGATACCAAGCAAATTATGTAAGATTTATTTACTATCACATACTTACAGAAACCACACAGTCAACCACAGGCTTCTTAAGTGCATTCTCAGCAGTCTCTTTTAATTTGGTAAGGAGCATTCCTGTCACCTGTTCAATAGTAAAGTTTCTTTCTTCTTCCATATACATGACCTACAAATGAAAATTGTACACACAAGTATTACACGACAGGAAAAACCACACCAGAAATGCTTCTTTACTAAAAGCAAGCTTAAGAAGCAGCACAGCTCTAGACAGCCTTCTCCAACAGCCCAGCCTGAGCACAGCAACTGCAAGAGGACAACAGAAACACTGGAAATGCACATTTAAGAAGTGACAGAGCTACTCTGAACACAGATATTTTTTTATCCTGACTGCTAGACTGTGCCTCAGATGCCTTCCTCTCTGCTGGTTTGGAGTAGCTTAATTAGTTATTGCTCAGATCCCCATCAGAAGTCCAGCCATTGCTGAAAGAAGACAAATTTGTACTGTTTCACCTGGAGTACTAAGGGGACATTTTACTCCCTTGCAGTAGTAAGTGCACTGGTCAAGTAGCTTCTCTTCCAAATTCAACATGGAGCAAAGGAAAAAGGCACTGCTAGAACAGTCTGTGGGACCAGCTCTGCAAGGCAGAGGAACTGTAAAATCAGTCTCACCTAACACCTGGAGAGCCCACCTGCAGCATCAGCCTGGTACCCCACTTAACACTTCCCATCCACAAGAGAACAGAAACCACAGCAAGCAGGTTCAAAATGAAGAGATAAAAGGGAACTTTATCAGCTTCCTCCCCTGGCTCTATTTCAAACATGCCAGACTTACCTTGATGCCAGTTGAGCCTGTTGGCAGCTGGACGAGTTCATAGGCAAGGTTTGCTTTTTCAGCTTGAACAAAGGGATCTGAGAATGCACGACCATGAAATCTTTTAAAACTTTGTACTGTATTCTTTGCATTTGAAATAACCTAGAGGAAAAGAAATCTTTAATACAACATGTCAGGGGAACATCTGAATTTCAAACAGAAGACAGAGTTTTGTTCTCAGGCTTCTCTCGACAGAATATTTTTATCTTTTGTATCCTGGCAGTATCAGGGCAGTTGCTGGAAGGCAACTTCCCTCTGAGTGCTCAGGTAACCCACAGGAATTTGAGATCTCAAATAAAATGTACACCCCAAAACCGAGCCAAGACTCTAAAAGAGCAGTTGATTTTCAGAGTGTATGTGTAAGACACTAAAGACATGAGCAAAGTGCCCTTCCCATCTCCCTGTTCCCTGCCACCCTACCTTCCTACTGCACTGCAGCCTGACCCCACAACCACAAGGGACACAGGGCTGGGGACTCCAGCCTGGGTTCATCCCATGCACATGACACTGAACACAGACACTCTCACAGAACAGCTCCAGGATCCTGTCATGGAGCTTTAAAGAGTCAGAAGGTCCCCAAGATGATACCTTCATTTTGATTTAACTGACAAAAGGCAGGTTGTTTTAACAGCAGAGATCAGTGCAAAGAGAGAAGTGAAAAATCATTGTGGTTTGCTTCCAGGTAGTGCAAGGAAACTGTTTCATTCTTTCATGTACATGAGAGCAAGGCAGAGCAAAACCCCCCAGGAACTGAGAGCAGAGGAGCACTGCAGAGTGGTTACCTGGGACAGTGTCAGCCAAGTCTCTACCTCCTACTTAACCTGGGCTTCATTTTCTGCACCTTTAGTTCCTGCAGGACATACCTCATCTCTACTGGATCTCTGTATCAATGAGTTTCTTTAATTTAAGCAGATACTCAATTCCAGAAAAAAAAGTTATCTGTATTTAGTTCTAGTACAGTTCTTCTGTTCTTGAATAACATGGTTGTGTCCAGTCACTTTTGTATTCTAGATAATGAATCTTCACACATCTCTAGGTATTTTAGGCTAAGAAAAACCAAGTGTTTGAATAGTCACTTCCTGTAGAGGACTTCAGAAAAAAAAGTCATGTTTTATAGGGGTTTCACAGCAACACAAGATACAATACAGCAGGACAAATCAGCTTAATGTCTTCTCAGCCCTCACATCACATTTACCTGCCTACACCAACAAACTCCAAATATGAGCCAGAACACCCAAGATAGATATTTAGGCTGCAATTCAGCCTCAAAGAGCCAAGAAAGCTGCATATATATATACTCCAGCATGTCTCCTTTCTGCCAAAACCATGCACTTAATGGAATTCTATAGAGCGTGGGCACTAATTAAAAGCTACTGTAGTGCACACAAACTGGAACAAGCTACAGCAGGATGAGGCACTACTGCTTCACTTCAGAATCTACAGCTGCAACCTAAAACTAAACTACTATTCATCAGAATTTAAGAAGCAAAGACTTGGGTTTTTTTTTACATTTCATTGTGTGCAAGGATCAGCCCTTAGATTTCTGCCCCAGCTGACAGAGCAGCGTTACACACCAGCAGCTGAACCCAGCTCAGCTGTTCATTCCAGTTCTGGAGACACTGGGACTCCAGCTCAGAGACATTTGTAAACTTCAGTGATTAAAAAAAAACCCAAACCATTCTGCTAATCTGGTTTTCTGAGCACTGAAGGTGCTTCTCCCCAAATTACAGACTCACCTGGCTCTTAGCAGCAGCACCAATTGAGCGGTTCTTGGGTCCAAAGGCTATACATGATCTGGAAGGAGAAGAAAGATTCCCAGTGAGTCACTGGTACAACAGCACTACAGATTTTTGTTCAAAAGTGTTGATAATA